CTGCAGTTGTAGTTCGATCCAAGACAAGTGCTTAACTCCCAGCCTGTAGCCGTTACATTGCGCCGTGAGGGATTGCCTCCGTAAATTGAGCTCCGAGGAGCAGAACTAAAGCTTCTCTGTTTTAAGGACTCACTCCATTGACTTTCTTGGGAGCTGCCTCAGCCTCCATGTGATTTAACCATTAAGGCAAATTGAATCTTCACTAGCTGTCAAAAGCTCTAGACATTAGTTAGACCGGGAGCAAGCAGTTGTTGTAGAACTCTGACCTCTCGCTGCTGGTCCAGAACGTGGTTGCAGGCAGAAGGTTTTTGCTTGCAGTGTGCTCAATTGCCTTAATCACCTACTCCTTGGCAAGGGAATGCGGAGAGCTGGGGAGCTTTCTTCTGTGTCGGTGAGTGAGGCGGAAAAGCAACCTCAGAGTTTGGCTGCTTTCTTCGTCAGAAAACCTGGCTGGAAGATATATTGCCGCCTCCTTCAGAACGTCCTAGTTTTTTCTCGCGTTCCTTGATCTCCTCCACCAGACATAGAGCTGGTGGTTATTTTGCAGCTGATGCCAAGCAGCTCTGCTTGGCACGTGGGATCTGGCAGGTGGGAGCCTGACGGGGAGAGCGTGAGGAGCAAGGGCTGGGGAGGGGTAAGCTGCTGTAGCACGGCGTAGCTCTGATGGCGTGGGGATGCCAGCTCTTCGCTTCGCAAACTCTTGTCACCGCCTGCGAGTGCTGGCGGGGTCTCACGGAACATGTGTTGGGTGTTCATCTTTCACACCACCACCCCTGCCTGCTCCTCTCTGGAAAGCGGTGCCACCCCTGACACTGCCACCCCTGAACGAGCTCCTTTCAGCCAGAGATGGAGGGAAAAGGTGTGGGTCCATGGATTTATTTCCAGAGGATGCAGATGGGGCTGTACGATGACAGCGTCAGTTCCTGGTGTGGGTGGTAGGAAATGGGGGGAGTTCCCGGGTGTTCTCTTTTCGCAGCTCTGGAGGAAAAACATGCAATACCACAGCGGTCCGTGAGACTGGGGGAGTTTCCAGAGTCCGCACGGATGGGACCCTTTCCCTTCTTCTTTCCCGCTCTTAACCCTGCTGTCAAGTCAGAAATCCACCAGGGGAAAAGAAGGTGGGGTGGGAAGTCATGTTTGGAGGTGATGTGACCAGAAACAGAAATATTTCGGGAACAGGAACGCAGCAGTCACAACAGGAGGAAGAGGAGGCTTTTGTCTCTCCCGTAGGGCAAAGCAGCAGAAACTGGGGGAATAATCAAAGCAGTTACGAAAACGTGAGGAATTGATTGCGTTTCTTTTCTCACAGGCCGTGTACAAGCTGGCGGACGTGGCC